TATCTGCAAATTCTACCTAGCTGCGCTCTTCCGAGGGGGGAGGGGGGCTGTCTGTCTTGAATATAGACTTGTAAATTACTATTATTTTGTAGATAGAATTAAGCCTTATCATTTTCTTAACTTTAAGAAGAGTGCCTTGTTATATAAATGTCATGCTCATTTTATGTAGAATGTAAAACATTGAAGCGGAATTAGCATCCATTTCAATAATGAGAAAGGTGGGGGCTAGGTTTCTTACAGTTTTCAAAAAAAAAAAAAAATGGGGGGCGGGGGATGAAATGCACACACATGATGTATGTTTCATACATTTAATTTGCTAAAAACTCGACTCTGCAGAACCAGAGAAGGTTTTTCTACAGGTCCATTCCCCATAACGGGGAAGACCTTACCTGCACAATGGCACCATGTGTATTACCTGCGCAGCCTATTAATGAGAAAATGAAATGAATATTTTTTAGTGTTTAAGAAAACGTTGAACCTACGCTTGCGAAAGTTCTAAGACATTCAAAGATATTTAATTTCTTCTTTATCAAATCAAGAAACTGGTTATACGTTAAATCAGCAAATAGGGGCCTTTACTTATGCCATGAATATCACAGAAAAAGATAGAAAGAAAGACAAAGAAATTTAAAAAATCGACTTTTAATCCCCTTTTTCGCGACGACCGGAAGAATTGACGACGGACAAAATGTTGTTCGACACATCTTCAAGTCATGATCTATGATATCCGACACAGTAAGCTTTCATATCTTAAGCTGTTCGGGAGAAATGGACCGGACAAAGGTCATTTCCAGAAGTTGGTCAATACGAAAATAGTAAGAATACTAGATGTGAAACTCGTTGCGAGCAACGAGAGGTCTTCCGTCCCTTTCCGGAAAGAAAACTTAAAATCGAGCTGAAAAAGTAAAAAAAAGATTTGCCTACAAGAGGGATTGAACACATTAGTCGCCAGCATGAAATTCCAACACACTAAATATTACGCTATCGGGACCTCTACTCTAAATCTACTAGTATATATCAACAAAACAGTGCTTCTCTCTTAAAAAGAAAGGCGGGTCACTATTCAAAATATAGCGCCAAACGCCACGATTTTAAAAAAAAAGAACGTTCTTATAGCGTAACATTCGAGGTTTAGAAAGTATATTTAACTCATTTTACAAATTCCATATTGTTTTATATATGCATGTAACACTAAAGCGGTGAAACAGTTATGAATTTTAAACTTTTTTCAATTTCCTGTTCATCCCCAAAGTGAACTATCCTGATTAGTTAATCAAAATAGGTTGAAACGTTTCGCCGAAAAATCTGGCTCGCCCTACGACGGTCAAGGAATCAGATATCATTTATGCTCAATAACTTGAATCAGGTCTTTGAGACAAGAATGCTTGAATAAACTCCATGAAGCCATCTTTTAAAAAAAAGTTTTCTTATTTTTGTCTTATTCATTAGTTTAATATGACACAAGTGTGCATAGGAAAACAGTGGTTAAGATTTATACTTACAATATTCATTGATATTCTTTTTTGAGACAGTATAACTTATAAGTACGATTTAAGATCTGTTTTTCCGTGGTGCACAAAAGATATTAGGTATCGAATTTCATCTGCACATTTAGTCTTTTCTTTTTTTATTTTGAAAACCAGCCAAAACCAATTAGAGAAGACGTTAGCTTGACACAGAACTGCAACGTCACTACGACGTGACAATCCAAGTATTCCTTTACATTTCATTTATCCTGTTGTTACTTTCATTCAAGCAAACGCTCGACTGCCTCCGAAAACCCCTATTGCGAAATGTCGACGTTGACTGAGACAGCCGCCATTTTGGACCCGCTTCAGATTTTTGAATGCTAATATCTAGAGTTTAGATTTATCAACATTCAAAAAAATTATATAGTAAGCATTATAGGGAGAGTTTCTATTAATATACCAAAAATAAATGGGAAATATTGAAAAACAAAAAAGTTAGAAAATACAATTTTTTTAAATTCGCATGCCGTAACGACCGGAAGAACTGACGACGCACAAAAAGGTGATTCTGCAAACCACAAAGTCACGAACTATCGTCTCCAATAAGTCTCCAGGTCATATCTTTAGCCATTTACGATAAAAAGGGGCGACAAAATTGCATTTTAAAATCAGAAAATTGCCCATAACTTGGCACCAGAAGCGAATTTCCAAATTTCCTTAAAAATGTATCAAGTTCATCTTATTGCGCATAATTCCTGAAAATTTCATAAGAATCCGCCGAACAGTTGCTGAGAAATCGCGTGCACAAAATTTTGGGAAAAAAAATAAGAATAATAATAATAATAATAAGAAACAGTAGAATAACTATAAGGTCTTCCGTGAAGACGGAAGACCTTAACTAGAAAAGAAACTCGTTGCGAGCAACGAGAGGTCTTCCGTCCGATTCTGAAAAAAACCCCGCAAAATCGAGCTGAAAAGTGATAAAGCTTTTTATGGAAACAAAGGGGATTGAACCCGGGTCGCCAGCATGAAAATCCAAAGCGCTTACTGTAACGCTATTGGGACCACATCTCTAAATCTACTTATATACTTCTGAAACAGTACATCTGTCTTAGAATAATGAAAGGCGGTCACTATTCATAATTTTGTGTCAAACGCCACGAGTTAATCTTCTTTGGAATGTCCCATTAAATAGGTGTGATAGCTTCAAGGGAAATAAAAAAAAGAACGTTCTCCTAGCTAAAATTTCAAGGTAAAGAAATTGTTTTTAACACATTTACAAATTCTATGACGTAAATAGATAAGTAACACTAAATCAGTGAAACTGTAATAACTTTTTACTTTTTAAAATTTCCTGTTTATCCCCATACTGAACTCTCTCGATTAGTTAAACTTGCATGAAAAGGTTGAAATGTTTCGCAGAAAAACATGTGTCGCCCTAAGACGGTCAAGGAATCAGATACCATTTATGTTCAATAACTTAAATCATATCGTTGACACAAGAATATCAATATAAACTCAATTCTTCTAAAAAATGGTTTTCTTATGTTTGTCTTTCATATTACAAATATAGTTTAATATGACTCTAGGGTGCATGAGCAAAACAGTGGATACGTTTGATACTGACTACATACATCGATATTGTTTCTTAAAACTATAATTTGTAACTAAGATTTAAGATCTGTTTTTCCGCAAAATAAATGATAGTAGGTATGTATTTCATTTGCACATTTCTACTTTGAGAACCAGCCAAAACCAATTATAGAAGACGTTTGAGACGACCATGGATTTAAACTTAGTTTGACACATAATTGCAACGTAACTACTTCGTGACAATCCCCGTATTCCTTTACATTTCATTTATCCTTATTTACTTTCGTTCAAGCAAACGCTCGGCTGACTCTGAAAACCCCTATTGCGAAATGTCGGAGTTGACATAGACAGCCGCCATATTGGACCCGCTTCAGATTTTCAAATGTTAATATCTAGAGTTTGGATTTATCAATGTTCAAACGAATTATATAGTAAGCATTATAAGAACGATTTCTATTAACATTCCAAAAATAAATGAAAAATATTGAAAAACAAAAAAGTTAGAAAATACGGAGTTTTTAAATTCGCTTCCGATAGCGACCGGAAGTACTGACGACACACAAAAAGGTGATTTCACATATCTAAAAGTCATCATCTATCATCTCTAACAAGTCTCCAGTTAATATCTTAGACCATTTTCGTAAAAAAGGGGCGACAAAAATCCATTTTAAAATCAGAAAAATGTCAATAACTTGGAACCGAAGGTGAGTATTCCAAATTTTCCTTCTGATGAACAAAGTTCATATAATGACGCATGATTCCTGAAAATTTCATTGAAAACCACCGAATAGTTTTCGAGAAATCGCCTGCACAAAATTTTGGGGAAAAAAATAAGAATAATAATAATAATAATAATAATAAGAAACAATAGAATCACTAGAAGGTCTTCCGTGAAGACGGAAGACCTTAATAAGAAACAGAGTAAAAACAATATGTTCCCCAACTTCGTTTGGGGAACATAATAATAATAATAAGAAACAGAGTAAAAACAATATGTTCCCCAACTTCGTTTGGGGAACATAATAAGAAACAGAGTAAAAACAATATGTTCCCCAACTTCGTCTGGGGAACATAATTATGGATTTAAATCAGTTATCATATATAAATGCTTTAGTTGCCTGCAGATTTTTTTCTTGATTCTTCTAGGACAAATACTGTTTAATATATATTTTATGTTGATAAGCTTTAATGTGGTTGTAGATTTCTTATAGAGTACTGCAAATTTGCTGTTTTTTAAATCAAAATAAACCTCCAAAAACTAGTTTTATTTATCAAAAGGTGAAGAGAATTTCAATAATCAACAGTTGTTAAAATAGAGTATTTTTAGATAAATAGAATAATAATTTAAAAAGCTTTTATTAATGACTAGTAATAAAAAAATATTTGTTTAACCATAAATTCAAGTGTCATGATAAAGTACAAAACACGTTATTTGAAAGGCGCGTGGTTTCCATAGCAACAATGCGAAAAATTATTTTTGGCTTGCTTTTTTCTATTATACCCTTTGTTCTGAAAATTTATATATGAGTTTTAACCAAATCTGTTTCTATGCCACTTTCCACATTTTTTAACTAAATGCTCGATGCTTGCTGATTTTGACTCTTAATACTGTAAACCCTTTTTTTTAGGTCAATCTTTAAATTTTATCATTCTCAAAGTATGATGAAAATCCAAAGAACAGGATTCTTAAGGAGGATCTCTGCACCTTTAAAGTATAACTGATTTTTGTTGCATGCATTTGTTTCTAATATTAGGCCCCATATCCGATAAAATAGGGTTCCAAAGTATTTCAATTTATTTTTTAGAAATATTTGAAATATTTTATTTTTTTTTTGTTAAAATCCCTCATATCAATCTTTTTAAATGCCCATTGCTTTAAATTTCTCTTTAAAGTTTAGTGTTATAAAATATTGAAATAATAATCAACAAAATTAAAAATAAATCAACATAATTTTTATTTAAATTTACAAAAATAGACAAAAGAAAAACTAAAACAGCATTTTCTTGAGAATAGCTGGTTGGATCCTCTTCAGTATCTGAAAAGATATATAATATCAAAGGGTAAAAACAATGAAAAAAAGAAATTGAAAAAAAAATGAAAAACTGTCAAAAATTTATAAACATCACAAAAATTCAGGTGTGAGAGATCCGCTTTAAGAGTGGACTCAAATATCTTGGTACTGTTTTTTTTTTATAAACTTCAAATAAACTCTACTTGCACAAGTATTAACAAATGTCACGCAAGGACATTGAAAGAAGTTCGTATTGTACATGTATTGTTTTTCAATTAGTTTAAGCGAAAATCATCGCGTTTCCAGTGAATGACAAAGACGTATTTAGTGAATTCATGGTATTGAGAAAGGTAGATTTACTAACCGTTTTTATCCAACTTGCATGTGTTATCCAGTGCTATATATAACAAAACAAGTTAAGATGGTAAATGGCCAAAAGCGGTAAAAGAAATTCCTATAACCAAATGCACACTTCGTCTTAAACCTGCACGTTTCCCATACTTGTAAACAGCTGACAATGTTGATCAAACGTTTGGGTCATTCGAAATTTCACCGGGTTAACCATTCATTCGGGTGTATACAAATCGTGAACAGATCACCTCTAGTCGATAGGAAGATAATACATATGTCTTATCTGATCAGATTTGCATTTTGTGGGGGATTTATTTTGCTGGAAAGCATATACTGTATGCTTATTAAAGAAAGAAATTTCTGAGTGTATGGCGTTTTGACACGTAATGATGAATTAGCATATGGACAAGCCATGTTTTATATCATTTTTTTTTCTCACCTTAAAATCTTATTCTAATAAGTTTGTAAATGTATTATCTAATAATTAAATAAGCAGAAGTGGAATAAATTGACAAACAATTCATTTTTAAAGAAAGGATACGTATTGGGCAATACACTACATATTAATTGATGTGATATAATGTACATTCCATCCACAATATCGCATGTTGTGTTATACTCAGTGATTTATCGGTGTTAGGTGAATTTGAATCTGATCATTTGGGATCAAAATGGCGTTTTTACGGAAGTACGCCATGTTGTGACGTTGTAGAGAGCACCCTTAAGAATATCTTTTTGTTTGTTTGCTTGTTGTTTAACATCCCTCTTGAGAATTTTTCACCCATACGGAGAGGCCACCACTTGCAGGTGAAGAGATGCAAATTTTGTCCTATAATTGGCTCTCAGGGCCATTGAGCATTGCCTATGCCAATGCCTACTTTGACACAGGCCTCAGTTTATATAGTCTCATCCAAAGGACTGGCCTCCACATCTTACAGTGGGATTTGAACCCACGCGTAAGGATTGACTCCTTACATTGCGATTCTAAAGCAGACGCTCTAACCACTGCACCATGCGGGCTACCGTAGGTTGACTTAATTACAAACATTTTTTATGCATGCACTTCTGAAAGGTTAGATTGAATACTGATTACTTTGACCTTGACTGCCACTGATAAGTTCTAAAAACTTATTAATTATAAAATTTATGTTATACAATGTAGGGTGTGTTTTGCTGGCAGCTGACTACTCTCAGTTGGAGTTACGCATGATTGCACATCTATCCCAAGATGCCAAGCTGATACAGATCCTGAACGGTGACGGAGACGTTTTCAAACTGATCACCGCTCAGTGGAAGTCAATCAGCGTGGAGGAGGTCACTCCAGAGGAGAGACAGCAAGCTAAACAGGTGAGAGGTCACAGGGTCAAAAGGTCAGAGAGACAGCAGGCTAAACAGGTGAGGGGTCACAGGGTCAATAGGTTAGAGACAGCAGGCTAAACAGATGAGGGGTTGAAAGGTTAATCTTAACAGGAGAGAGAGGGTTAGGGGTCAAAAGGTCAATCTAATCAGGTAAAGAAGGTTAGGGGTCAAAAGGTCAATCTAGATAGGGAATGTAATCAGTCTCTTGTAGTGTATGAATATAATTTGCTACTGAAAAAATTGCCCCTCCCCATCAATTGTATTATTGACTTTATTTAAATGGTAACGTATATGGTATTGTATGTATACAGAACTGTTATGGTATAGTCTATGATATTGTTGTCTTTACACAAATCTGCTATGTTATGATCTGTGGTCTTTATACAGGTTTGCTATGGTATGATCTATGGTAATGTCTTTATATAGATTTGTTATGGTATGATCTATGGTATTGTTGTCTTTATACAGATTTGTTATGGTATGATCTATGGTATTGTTGTCTTTATACAGATCTGCTATGGTATGATCTATGGTATTGGAGCCAAGGCGCTAGGCGAAACGTTGGGAGTGGATGAAAATGATGCAGCAGTTTTTATGCAGACCTTCAAGTCCAAGTACCCTGGTATGATCATGATGATGTTAACCTTATTGAGCAGTGTCATTGAAAAATAATAAAATCGATGCAGAATGTGACATACTAAATTATGTTGCAGGAATGAGGCGATACCTTAAGAACACAGTGGATAAATGTATTAAGGACAAGTTTGTGGAAACTATCAGTGGGCGACGACGGTATCTTCCGTCCATCTCAAATACAAATCCCTATGTCAGGGCTCATGTAAGTAACATATACTTTATAACAGGGCATATTAATTAAGAAACACAAATCAATGTCTGGGCCTATGTTAGTAACACAGACCCCTATGCAGTACCTCATATCAAGGTCTTATAACTTAATTCTTTAAAATTTAAAAAAACTGAAAAATTGAAGTGTATTATATCTCTGATGATTCAATCAAGGTCAAGGTTTAATATGATCCTTTCTATCCCAGGCAGAGAGACAGGCTGTTAACACCACAGTTCAGGGGTCAGCTGCTGACCTTGTCAAGGTCGCCATGAACAGAATTGATCAGAGACTCTCAGAAATATTTCCTCTCTCACAGAAATCTCTCTCACACAAGGAACAAGGTAGGTTTATACATTTGCATGTATATTAATGAAACACCTGAAAACTTTGAGTTAGATTTTATTTTATGACCGAGTTCTCGTGACTGCTGCTAAGGCTTTCATATTTCATGATAAAACCTTTCAGTTTGACAATGTGACCTTGAAATGTATTTGCAAAATTAAAGTTGACCATAAACTGCTAAACAAGAGGCATCAGACAGTGCTTCACTCACACATCTTGTGTAAACTTAATTTAGTCTATTATGATCATTTCAAAACAATAAGAAAGTTTTAGTACTTATCATATCTTGTTGGCTTTAGATCCCACTGTTGATGTATCCGATGACAGATGTTGTTTAGTTCTACAACTTCACGATGAACTGATATATGACGTGACACAGACCTGTGTGAGACAAGCAGCCAAGGTCATCAGACAGGAAATGGAGTCAGCCATGACCTTGTCTGTTAAAATGCCAGTCAAGGTCAAAAGTGGGTTGTCATGGGCAACAATGCAAGATCTAGAGGTGTGACGTATTAACTCTACATTCATGAATGCCCCTTGACACTTGAACAGAAACATTGAAAATTTGAAAAATGCCAGGAAGAAATATGTTATAGACTTTTTTCGATATTATTTGATAAAAAACGGGTCAATATTCTGTGATATAATATTTCTGTTTTTATCATGAATTTGTTTTTTATTTTCGTTAATTTGTTATGATTTGAATAAGCACCCTAAATCAAATGAATTTCTAACGCATCAAATGTAGTTATACTAAATATTACTGTATACAGACTGGGTGTCATTTGATTATCTCTTTGTAACATGGAGGAATCTGATTGTATAGAATAAAACAATATTTATGATCTAGTATGTTTATTCCTACATGTACAGTGTATATGGTTATTAATATGATTTTTGAACAATTACATGATTGAATGTATGACAGCCAGATTCCCAATATGAAGCGTCTTGAATATATTAATACAAATTTTGTCACTTATGTGATCTTTACCTCGTCTTTTTTCACTTGGTTTCTTGTTTCATGCATTGTCTGTCATAACCTTTTGAATATTCCAGCTTGTCCTATAGATAAAACTTAATCAGCTTTGACCATTCTTTGGGGTAGAGAGCAAAAAGGCATAAATCTTGTGTAGAATTACAATGGTCTCTACTAGGATTTGAATTTTTATACTTCCTGAAATTCTGTCAAGTTTGATGTATAATTTGTAATTTATTTATTCTAAAAGAAAACGTTAGGTTGAATTGATAAAATTAGTGCTAATCCTGTTATATACTAAAAAAATCTCCTTCAATTGGATTGTGGTTAAGTATGATTTATTATCAGCGAACCTCAGAGGCAAAGTAAATATTGTTTGATAAAATTTTATCCATTCACAACCCGTGGTATATACACTGCAGGTATATTGGTGGTGTAATATGCTTGGGGGAGAGGGGGGTGTCCGAGCACCTTAGGTGGAATAAAACCAAAATTTTAATTGTAAACAATTCTTCAAATAACAAGTGCACTATAATTTGATCAAATTCTAAGTCGTTAGGATAAAGATACATTGTACAAATATACATACAATTTTGAAGGCACGTATAATGGTCTAAAATGAAAAATCTTATGTAGTAATTATATTGTTCTGAAACGATAATCAAGTTGTCGACATAATAATTCCTGGTTAAAGTTTAGAATTCATTTAAGTACAAAATCAAAAATAACGTTTTAACACAAAATTTCCAAAAGTGAGAGTTAATTACAGGCAAACTCACTCATGCACGTACGTCTCATTTTTGACAACTCCTCCCACTTTCCATAAACAAACAAATAAAACAACTCAAATACAGTAGTAAAATTTGGGGAAAGCTCAATGATAATAATCTATAACAAAGGAAACAATTTGGGTAAGCACAACTAATTCAAAGAAAAACCAGTCTACGATCTGACCATAAACCTGTCAGTGATAACTATTATGAGCTAATAGAATCGATACCGTGGGATAAAGAGAGATGTCAACTTTGAGAAATTACAAACACGTGCAGCAGTGCTCTTTCCAAAGATCAAATAAAGCAAATATCTTTCATTGTTAAATTCAAAGTACACCAATCAAAATATTTCAAAAATACATCTAAGAAACTAACTATTTGTCTTTATCAAAAATATACCTTTATACACATGAATATTACACTTAAAACTACTAGACAGTAGTGTAAGACAAGTAATACATATAATGTAATATAGTCCTGACCTTTGTGAACTGAAATCTTGCCAATTTCTTCAATGATATAATTAGACTGTATAATTATGCATCAAGTTTGCTTTGTACACATGTGAAAGCTTATAAAAAATACCCCTTGAATAAATTAAACTATACATTCAACTATATCATACTTCACAATTTGAAATTAAAAGAATTACTTCCATATAAGAAAGTTGATCGTAAATTTAATAGAATTTCTCCATATTTTGAGAATTACAAAATTGATGAGAACATAGACACTAGTTGAATATTTCAAATAAAATGCGTTTTGAATATTTATTATAGTAAATCTATGGCAGTTGCCATGGAAACGGTTGTTTGGAAATGCAGGGGAGACGTTGACACCTTTATTATCATTTTTGTT